TTGAACAAATTTGCTATCTTTTTATTCCAGCATAGTTGAGGCAGTTGATAGTGGTAAGGATTGTGATGTTGTGTACCTTGACTTTAGCAAAGCTTTTGATACAGTGCCACATGAAAGACTGATTAAAAACATAGAGGCCCATGGTATTGGGGTTCTATATTAAGTTGGATTAGGGCATGGCTGTACCAAAGAAAACAGAGTTAGTATAAATGGGGGTTAAGTCAGACTGGGAAAATGTTGTAAGTGGAGTGCCTCATGACTTTGCCCTGAGACCTATGTTGTTTATAATATATATAAATGATTCAGATTCAGGTTTGAGTAGCAACATTTGCAAATTTGCTGATGCTACAAAAATTGGTAGGGAAATAAACACAGAAGAAGATTCACTGTCATTTCAAGTCGATCTAAATAGGGTTTTGAAATGGTCAAAAGATTGGCAGATGCAGTTTAATGCTGATAAATGTAAAGTTTTGAGATTAGGTAATGATGATAGAGTTACAAGATACAAGCTAGATGGTGTTGAGATTGCGAAGTCGGATTGCGAAAGGGATCTGGGAGTTATGATTAGTAAGAATTTAAAACCAAAGAATCAATGCATGAATGTTCGTAATAAGGCAAATAGGACACTGGGATTTATTAATCGAAGCGTTAGTAACAAGACACCTGGTGTTGTTCTTCAGCTATATCTTGCTCTGGTTAGGCCCCATTTAGACTATGCAGTACAGTTTTGGTCGCCGTACTACAGAATGGATATAAATTCACTTGAACGTGTCCAGCGTAGGATGACAAAGTTAATTTCCAAAATTAGAAACCTGTCATGAAGAGAGATTAAAAAAGCTTAAATTGCATTCACTGGAAAGGCAAAGAGTTAGGGGTGACATGATAAGAGGTTTGCAAGTGGATGAAGGGACATAACAAAGGGGATATTAATAGGGTATTAAAAGTATCAAAACAAGACAGAACACGAAACAATGGGTATAAATTGGATAAGTTTAGATTTAGAGACGCCTTGGGTAAGTACTGGTTCGGTAACAGGGTTGTTGATTTGTGGAACCAATTACCGCGTAACGTGGTGGAGGTGGGGTCCCTCGATTGTGTCAAACGTGTGTTGGACATGTATACAAGTGGGATTGGGTGGTTATATATAGGAGCTGCCTCATATGGGCCAATAGGCCTTCTCCAGTTACCTTCATTCTTATGTTCTTATGTTCACTCAAGCATGCGGGTACGACAAAAGCTGCGCCACGCTCCAAGAGAGAAGAAGAAACAGTCTGCCAGCCAGGAAGACTCCGGAACTCATAACGCACCCAATATGAGGAAGAAGAGCCGAACTCAAATAAAGCCAGATCCATCACTGAGGTATATAAATAGGGTCCCGTACAAAGTAAGCATCAAGAGCCTCCCAAACCTCTGCAGGGGAAATCCGAAAGGAAGAAAAGCTCTGGAAAGATGAATCCGCAGAACTCAAAGGCACCCGGAAACGAACCCAAGGGAGGATGGGGGGCACCCAACTCAAATTCATAATGAGAAGGAAGGTACAAGAACCTCTTCACCTGCAGAAGAAGCATCTGCACAGAGGGCACAAGGGTGCAAGCAGGATCAAACGGAACCCCAAGAGTTCCATGCGGACTCCCCCCGAGCCCCAGGAACCCGCAACAAAGGCAACAGGGGCAGAGCCCTCATTCATGCCCACCACTCCAAAAGGAAAGGCAGAGTCCAGGGGAAAGGCTTCAAAGAAGGGAGTCTGCTGGGTTGACTCAGAAGCCTCAGCAGGAAAGAGGGGCTCAACCACCTCTGTGCCCGCATCAGAAGGGGCAACCCCTTCTGATGCCCACCCAAACCTCATCCCAAGCTAAACTCCACCCCCGACTTCGAAACCCCTCAGACGTTTGGGAGCAGGAAGCGGGGGGGGGGGGGGGGGGGGAAGGAGCAGGGCGAATCATGCTACCTGGGAAGGAAGAGGAGGCGCGGACGGAACCAAGGTCGAAGCGACCAATGTCCCCAAATCAGAGTCCCTAAACCCCAAGTGGGGCAGCTCTGGGGACTCCATCAGGGCAACCAACCTGGCCCCATTACAATAAAGAAACCAATCATGCAACAAAGCTGCTGCTTGATCCCTGAGATCATCAGATAAGGGATGAGTAAACTGGAGCACAAGCAGGGAACGAGTGCCGCAAGACTCCAGGTCATTGGTGTCTGCGACCCAACAGGCAGTATGGCGAAGGCAGTATGGATAATCGACACCCTGAGGCAGGAGCGATGAACAACCTTCAATTTGCACAAGGCGAGAGTGGGCTCGGAAAAAGTATCCGGGGTATGACCGAGCCCATGGGTTTTCCAGGGCCTGTAGAGTGAATAAGCCCTATGGGAAGCCTAGGCACTGGAGGCAGCTAAGTTGGTAAACCTTGTCGCAAGCAGCTAAACTAACTGCAAGTAGCAGCCATGAGACCTCATGGGCAATAGAGGACTACCACCACACTCTAGGCCAAGCCTAATGTGGAGCTAAGCAGACCTCCACTGCAGCAACAGGCAAAAACACTGGAATTAGACACACAAAACCCTCCAAAATCCCACAACTAGTAAACTAACAGCCGGAGAGAAGCATCAGCTGCTGCGTGATAGCTTATGCAGGCTGTATTAGCCGTAGTGTGTCCCACCAGCAAAGAAACGCTTCCCTATCAGGGGCAAGGCGGAAAGCCCAAGACCCCCGACACACCTCAAGGGCAAGGGCAACCACAAGCAAGGAAGCCTTCTAATGAGGAATGATTCCCTAATGCCCCCGGGAAGAAAACCCTGACCACGTAAGGGACAGTACTCATGGAGTGCCTAGGAAATGTGTCCCTAGATGCATGCAGCTCCGGTACCCAAGACTCCAGGCCAGAGCACACACACACAGGTGTAGGAACACCCGTTAAAGGCAAAAATCACAGAAAAGAAACCGCAGCCTGAGGTGACGTCCAACTGCCAGCACATCAGTCAAAAACTAAATTGGTGGGTTGCCGGCTTCCCCTTCCCCATTCACAAGGGGAAGGGCTAACAAAGGGGGTGGGGCTAACAAGGGGGATAGTTATACAAAGTGTTGCTTGTTTATTTTCTTTTTGGAAATTCTTTTGGGGAATTCTTTTGCTCTTTTGAGGACGTAGATTGCAATTTTTAACAAGACAGTGGTCTGTTTTGGTTTGCCTACCTTTCTGGGTGCTATCACTGGTCGATGGCAAGTTTGACATTCTTTAAATGTAAAGTGTTTATAGGCCATTGCTCCCTGCACCTCTCTGAGGGGGAGGGGGGCAGGTTCTGGCTATGGACCCCAGTAGGCAACAAGAACTCTGACTGATGACCCCAAATAGGATAGCACTGTATCAGTGGGACAGCTTCAGGGAGCCTCTGGGGCTCCCAGAGGCTCCACGGAAATAACCATTAACAAATACAGTACTGTACCTGCAATTAAACATTCTATTATGTTGCATATTTTGTCATTGACACCAGTACCTTTTGACAGGTGTGTGGCACTTTGGGATAATTTATGTATCTAACTTTCCTTTAATTAAATGCTGCTCAGTTCAATCATCTTTTGTTGTAGTTTTATTTAATCAAAACAGTCTTGCATTTAGATAAAATAAAATAAAGCTCATACTACCATACTAAGATGTCAGGAAAATGTACCTAAACAAAAAAAAATATATTGAGTACTGTATAGCTGTAATGATTTGTTCTGAGCAAGCCACTGTCACTCCTGTGAACTATATCCTGCTCTTCTTGGAACACAGTCATCTCTATTTTGGATCAGAGTGGCCTCCTCCTCTCTGACATATTGGGAATCCTTTCTAGTTGCTCCTGCAAGGCCATGCCTGGATTAAGGTAGAAACTGTAGAGTTCTCAATCCAGCCATGAATGAAGATGCACTCAAACATTTTCTTTAAGCAATACTTGAAATTAAAGATAACATTAAGTATTGCTCTGCTACATCTGATTACCATGTGTGGGTGAGTGCCTGGGCACCAGGTATCAGCACTGGTCATGTACACAGAGATGGCTAGTGATCCCACTTCATTTTCATCCTAAAGCTCTCCACCCTTCCATGTAAAAAAGCCAGAGTTGAATGTATTGAGACATCTTTCTGGCAGGTCACTTTATAAACTAACTGTCTAGGTACTGTAGCTCCAAGCCTATCATGCCACCAGGCCCCAGAGAGTCATAAGTGCCTACCTGACAAGAAAGCAGAATCTAATTCACTCATGAGTGACAAAGTGAGCCTGGGAATACTAGATGAACCCAGGCCAACAGGGATACCCCCAGAGTGGTAAAGCCCCAAAACAAGCAACTGCATGGAGAAACATTGCCAATCCTGTTTATCACGTACATAATCATTAGACAGCTACACCTTTCCACCACCAGATGGAAGCACCAGCAGCCCAAGGGTCCAACCAGCAAGCAACTTCAAACTTTACCACCTAAAGACAATACCAAAAGCCCCTAAATAGGGAAGGGTGAGAATAGGGAGCCACTAAGGGGACCCACCAGAAAGACATTTCATTACATTCAACACTGGAATTCTGTGAGAGCTCCTCTCTTGGTTATTCCCAGAGCTATCTTATCACAGAGCACAACAAAAACAGGACTTGCCAGGGAAAGAGGGGAAGGAGCATTCAATAACCCCAAAGAGTCGAGTTACTTGGCCTAACACAACACAAGCCTGGCACAGCCTAGGAACATTAACCAAACACAATACTGCCAAGGCTCTATTACCCTATTAGACTGCCAATACTCATGTGGCTAAATATTTAACCATGACATATTTGCAAAGAAAGCAAGAAGAGCTGCAAACATGCGATCATCTTGAGCCTGTGAGTAGACAGCAACTTCGCTAAAAATTAACCATGTTGTGAACATTTGAGGAGTTCTGTCTACTAATTTGGCTTTTAGTAGCAATATTTTAACCAGAATAGGGGGTTTGTTTTGGGGTGCTTACCTTTCTGGGTGCCTGACCCGGTTGATAGCAGACATAGAATGTTTCCAACCATACGGGGTTTCTATAGGCCATTGCTCCTTATGTCTTTCTGAAGGGGCCAGGTTCTGGCTGGTGGTCCCCAGTAGGCCTAGAACTCCACACACATTGACTGATGCCAAGTTCTAATACATTTATATTAGCCCGGTTAGCTCCGGGGAGCCAAAGGGGCACCCCCCAGAAAACCAGCATTGAATGGAATGAAATGCCAATTTCTGGGTGAGCCCTGGTGGCTCCCTGAAGTTACTATATCTGATACAGTGCCAGACTACAAGGTGCCATCATTTGCAGAGTGCTATTTGGCTTTCTGGGGACCATGAGCCAGAACTTGGGCCCCTGCAGAGATGCAGGGAGCAGTGGCACACATGAAAAATTTAATGTAAATTCATTTATGTTTGCTACCAGTAAGAAAAGGCACACAAAGTTAGAGAACCAAAAGAGACCACTGCTTGGTTAGAAACAAGACTGCAGCCTCAAAACAGCCAAAAGAATTTTCCCAACAATATAAACAAACTATAAAAAATTCATGAAACTAGCAGCATCTAGTGTGACCCACCTCATTTGGGGGGGTCCCAACCCAACACCCTGGGAAAGGGTGTCAGGTTTTAATTTCACCCAGAAATTAATCTTTGCGGTATCAATAGTACCACTGAACCTGCACGGGTTTTCCAGTGTCTGCAGGGTGAGCATTCCCTGCAGGTATGCCCAGGTACTGGGGAATGCTATACTGGTAATCCCTATATAGTTGTATAGGCACCCCTTGAAAACCCGACACCATTGGAAAGGGCAAGAGAGAGAGACCAAAAGGGGGATGATCAGCACCCAGAGTAGGTAAAACCTAATTGAAGCAGGAACAATATGAATAAAACTCCTAAGTGGAATGCAGCACAAATGAAACTACTGTAACAGTAAAAGCTCCAAAAAGGGCCGAAGTATGAAAACAAGGCCCACGGATTTCAAGGCACCAGACTGTGGATAACGAGTAAAGAAGGGAGAATCATAGATACAACCAGGCATATAAAGCTGGAAGAACTATTTTGGTGAGTAGGTAAGGTCAATCGAACAATAATGCACCCAACCAGCCAAAAAGAGACGGTCCGAGACAACAGGCTTACCTGAAGGGTGAGACTAACCATGTTATAATGGATGATAAAAGGGCAGCAAACACTCTGAATTAATATTTTACATGAGTGTTCAGAATAGAAGGGTTAGAGGACATCTCATCACCCACACAAATGTTTGAAGGTGGGGGTGAAGAAAGTGACTGTAGAGATATACTCATAACATGCAACATAATGAGGAAGAACCGTGACAAACTAAGACTCAAAAGCCCCAGATGTGGATGGGATCTCATCCATAGTTATAAAGGAACTGGCAGAAGAACTATGCTTACCGGTGAAATTACTTTTCACAAAATCTCCGGACCAAGGGACAGTCTCCCCTAGATTGAAAATATGCAAATGTCTCTCCTTTTGCTTTTTGATGTTTAATATAGTTTGGTTCCAGCAGCTAGATGTTAAAAAATGATAGGATGGTGTCATGAAAGATTGAAACAAGGATACTTGTTATGTGCTGCTGGAAGAAACAGGTAGGACATAATGCTGAAGGTAGCCAGAAGCAGAGAGCTAGTGTGAAGCCTGGAACTGTAAGCTGAAAGCTTGAGTGAAGCCAGGAGTGTAGAGCTAAGAGGGAGAGATTGGAGTGCTCAAGCACAGGTGGGAGCAGGGAGCTGAAATTAAGACGGGAATGGCTGTCTACTCTGTAGCAAGGCTTGTAGTGTCTGGTGTGAGAGATGGAACTCAACTGACTAAGCTGTGTTTTCGAATGTGTTATACCTGTGTCCACCTAACCTTGTTCTGGAACCAGTTTGCTTCCTTATTTGGCAGGATGATGATCACTTGGTCTGATGAGAAGCTTGCTTGTTAATTTTGACTGCCCTAAGTGATTTCTGGAAACCCTGTGGCAATATGTATTAATGTAATTACAGATGTCATTAGTAGCAAATAGATTTGTGGAGGGGTCATGTTGGATAAGTGCGCACCTGTAAGTGATTGCAACAGAATTTCTTGGAATGTGGGATTAATTGAGGATAACTTAAGTAGTTGCCACATTAACTCTAATGTGGGTGTTACATAAGAATTAAGTGAGAACATCACACATGATACGGTAAGAGACAAGGCTGTATGGAAGCCGTTTTACGGAGTGAATATATTTGTGCTGCGGGAATCTAGGTGAAGCACTGCACATTTGATCTTATGAAGTGTTGGGTTGCTGCTGTGGATGACTGCTGGAGTATAGTAGTGCTTGTTTATCTATGGTACTAGTAAACAATTACATAAAGTGAATGATAATGAATGGATGAGTAACTTTCTTTACAGCAATAACTCTAACTTTTTTCACTACATTAACTTTTCCGCTGAACACAGCCTTGTCATGGATGGGAGTCTTGAATGCTCTTTTTATAGGTAAAGCTGACACACAGCTTTTGAAGCCTCTCATTTGGCCATAAGCTTGAGGTTAGTTTACATTGCTTGTTAGGTTTCTTTTCTACCAAAATGTAGCACAAAACATTTGTTCCTTTTTCTTTATAAGTATGAATGGCAATGCATGTAATAGTGAGGCTTCGGAATTTTTACAAGGCAGGGCTTCTGTGTTGCAACAGGTAGAGCTCTGGCAATATGTCATGACCATTGCACCTTCACTCTCTATGATTCATATATTGGCTGACCAGCTTCAGGAGTCTTGCTCTTCTATACATCTTGCCCCCTTCGTTTAAATCTGAAGGAACCTCACTTGTGGTCCCTTGGTTGCTGCTACACTAGACCTGGATTCATGTTCTCATTCCTGACCTGCTCTGATGAACTTCCCTGAAGCAATCATTGATCCCAATGTTGCCCTTCTTCCTTTCCCTGACTTTTATGTGCAATATTCATTCCACTGCAGCTTGAATATTAATAAATAAGCAGAACAATACAATACTAAAAATAAAACATTACTAATTGTTCACATTATCTCCCACCATAAATCCCAAATTATTTTAAATTCCTTAATGTTCTTCTATCTGCACCAGTAATACTTTATATTGATTTTAACTGCAGGCATAAACTATGGGGCAATACTGTTGTTAATACCTGTGGCCACCTTTTAAAACCTTTTATTTTTTTTCGTTGTTCATTTAACATACTAAGAAATTCTCACATTGACTCTCACAACTTTGTGTATTATCTTCCACTCTGCACTTCTTTCATTTAGAATAAGATTGGCAAATCCTTCATTGCCTCTATGGACAACTTATGGCAGGGCAGCAGGGAAGGCCAGCTTACAACATGGGAGAAGGCCAGCTTACAACATGGGAGAAGGTCAGCTTACAACATGGTGGGAGAAGGCCACCTTACAACATGGTGGGAGAAGGCCAGCTTACAACATGGTAGGAGAAGGCCAGCTTACAACATGGTGGGAGAAGGCCAGCTTACAACATGGTGGGAGAAGGCCAGCTTACAACATAGTAGGAGGGAGGGCCAGCTTGCAACATGGAAGGAGTGAGGGCCAACTTACAACATGATAGGAGGGAGGGCCAACTTACAACATGGTAGGAGGGAGGGCCAGCTTGCAACATGGTAGGATGGAGGGCCAACTTACAACATGGTAGGAGGGAGGGCCAGCTTACAACATGGTAGGAGGGAGGGCCAGCTTACAACATGGTAGGAGGGAGGGCCAACTTACAACATGGTAGGAGGGAGGGCCAGCTTATAAAGTGGTAGGAGAAGACCAGCTTACAACATGGTAGGAGAAGGCCAGCTTACACCATAGTAGGAGGGAGGGAGGGAGGGGCCAGCTTGCAACATGGTAGGAGTGAGGGCCAACTTACAACATGGTAAGAGGGAGGGCCAGCTTACAATAGCTCAACTGCAGGTAAAGACCTTCATTTAGCTCTCAACCGAGCTACATTGTGCATAACGTAGTACTGTATATTAGAAGTGTGTTACCTCACTAGTCCTTATAAACTTTTTTTTCAAATAATAAGGCTAATCATACAGCACAGTATGATATTCTGAAGAGCATTTAAAATTTGGTTCATATTAACAAACTTGACTAATAATATATATATATATCTGATTTGCAAACCATTAATACAATTTATACATATTGCAGAAGCATTCATGACATTCATAGCATTCATGTCATACATTCATGACATGTTGAGTATACAACTGCTCAAATAAAAGATACAAATCACTGGAAAGATCACCATTGTTTATTCCGCTTGGCCTTAACGACAATGGGGCGCATGGGAAGTTTTACATATGTTGGTAACTTGCTTGTACTTGGCATAATCATTGTGGCTGGCTGTACTAGTGATGTGTCTTGCACTACAACTGATGACTGATGGGTTACAGGGTACAAAGGTGTTAGAGTCATTACCCCTGTGCTTGTTGTGGGTACACCTTGGCATGATACCTCTGCTAGCATTGCACTACTAACAATGGGGGTAACATGTGGATGCATTTGATGGTGAACCTCTAGTGTATAACTTTTTGCAAATGCCATACCACATATTTCACATCTGAAATTTTTTTCTGGGCGATGTATCTTCTGGTGTAGAAGAAATTTGCTATTGTCTTTGAACAACAAACCACATTGGTCACACCGCAGAGGCTTAGAATCTCCATGTGACTTAGCTGTTTTACTCTCACCCATCCAGCTTCCAAAACGCTTTGCAAAGTATCTCTCTGTGTGTACATGCTTTAAATGCTTTCGCAAGAGAACTTTACCAGTAAATTCCTCTCCACAAGCATCACATTTGAAAACTTTTTCTTTAAAATGTGTTTTCCGATGAAGATCAAGTGTAGAACGATATTGGAAAAGCTTACCACAAACATCACATTCCAAAGGCTTTTCACCACGGTGTTGCATCATATGAAGGTCAAAAGGAGTACGCTTTTCATACACCAATTCACAAAGTTCACACCGCCAAGGCCCCATTTCTGTATGTCTTTTTACATGTTGTCTCAATCCACTGCTGTCTGAGAAAGCCATGCCACACTCTCCACAACTGTATGGTTTTTCTCCAGTATGTATACGTTTATGTTTGGTAAGATGGTCACTCTGATAAAATGCTTTACCACATTCTGAACACACATAAGGTCTCTCACCTGTGTGAATACGGCGATGAACTGTCAGCATACTACGTTGAGTGAATCCTCGACCACAATCGTCACATCTAAAAGGTCTTTCTCCAGTGTGAATACGATTGTGAACAACTAAGCTACTTTTGTTAAGAAATGCTTTACTGCAACTGCTGCAGTGATAAGGTTTCTCGCCAGTATGAGTTTTCTTGTGGTATTCAAAGCTACTACGTTGTGTATAAGACTTGCCACAGACATTGCATTCATATTTACCTTCTGAGACTTGGGGTTTTGCTTCCTGATTCTCCTGTGATTTATTCCAGAAGAACACATTCATCTGATCATCTTTTGCCGCAATATTTAGGGTTGGAACTGACACATGAACACCAGGTACAGCCACTGACACTGTTACAGCCACAGACATTGATGGAACAGTGACTTGCTGAGGCAAAGACATGTTGATGACTTTTCCTTAGCAAATTTCTGGGCATGTCATGTAACTTTGCTCATTTTAGTAAATTATAATAAAAATTAAATAATCATGCTAGAAATAAGGAACTCATATAGTTTAAATATTTATTATGTGTCAGTCAACTCCTTAAATGGCAATTCATCTGTAAAAGAAAATACCAAATATTAGCAACTTGAGTTCATGTGAGGTAATATTATATACACACTAGCAAACTAACATGCATTTACATTGAAAGATTCCACTGAAGAGCAGGAATTTCTTACAGTTAGTAACTACCACTGATAAAGAATTTAATTCAAGAGACCCCCAAGAGTGCAGACAGTGATGTAGAGTTGAATGGAGGCTTTATTGGATGCAGATTTTCAATTGAAAGTACCCTAATAAATCTAAATATAATATAGCACCTACACGCAAAATAAAGGTAACTCAAATTCATGTTTTCCTACAAAAACATCAAGCAATGAATGTATTAAAATATGTGTTTCTGGTCAGCCTTAAGCAACTCCCAAGCTGAACTTTGGTACCATCAAGAATTAAACCAACACACCAGGCCTCTGAGACCTGTATGTCACCTGCTAGAAGCCAGTACAGTGGTACCTTCGTTTACGAATTTAATCTGTTCCAAGAGACGGGTCATAAACCGAAAATTCGTAAACCAAGCCAAATTTTCCCATAAGAAATAATGTGAATTGAATTAATCTGTTCCACACACCCAAAAATATTAACTTAAAAATACATTTTATACAATACTACTTATATGTTGTACAGAATACTTATATCTATATTATATATAAAAGTATATCTTACCTTTATTGAGGACTCTTGTTGGTGTATGGAAGACGGTGAGGAGGGCGGGGAAAGAGGAGAGGTGTTAGTGTTTGGAAGGGGAGTCCCCTTCCATTATAACATCAGGCAGTGATGACATTTCTGGGGTACTCTCTCTCCTATGTCTTGCAGGCATACCACTAGGACCTGGTTATGGCTCACTGCTTGCTTGTCTTACTAAGAATCGATCTAAAGACACTTGTTTTTCCCTACATTTTAATACTTGTCAGAAGTGAGAAATCTTTTTGTCATTAAAAAGGTTTATGTAACGGCCTGCTACAGCTTTATCTGGACGAGTTTTTTCAACAAAACTTTTCAGTTCTTCCCATACTGCACACATTTTCTTAATGAGGAAGGAACATCAACCACAATCTTGCTATTATCACAATCCTGGTCACTAATTCCTGTAAATGAATAACTGACCACACTTTTATTTTGAAAAGGAACCTAAGAAATCATTTGAAGATTCCTAGATGGACGAAATAATGCTGTGGTGCTGTGGCTAGCGCTGTGAACATCGTGAACAGCATTGAATCACTGATATTTGAGCATTGTACCCAGTCATTATCACACTCAGGCTCTTCTATAATATTATCATGGCTAAATAATACAAGTTATATATATATTTTGACATTATTAGGCGATGCTGTGGTCACATGCTGAACAGCAGTGCTGTGCGCTCATGCTGCAAGCGCCAGCCTTGGTTGCTCACTCCCTACTGAGGCTCCCACACCCGGGAAAGTGGACCACGATTTTCTTTAAAGATGGTGTCTGTTTACAAGAGCCCTGAGGAAGCTGATGTGAACCCCATGTAGCCGCGGGAGTTTTGAATGGAACGTGAAAAATACAAATACCCGGAGGTGCGTTGCACAAACCAGACATGAGCCTGCAGGCACGTTGCGCAGTTTAAGGGTTAATGGTAGAGTGAAGGTTATATCAGTGATGGCTACACATTGATGTCTGTCACTTAGATAGGATCAAATATAGTTCAAGGCAACCACATACCTGTACAAGGTTCTCCATGGAATTGATAAGTAAATAAAGACAGTTTATTTAACACGGGAGGAAAATACACCAGGAGACGCATGGTGGAAACTGGGTATCCAGATGAGTCATAGACATATTAGAAGGAGCGCTTTTAGTGTCAGAGAAGTTACCAAATGGAATGCATTAAGAAGTGATGTAGTAGAGGCAGACTCCATACACAGTTTCAAATGTAGATATGATAAGAACCCAATAGGATCAGGAATCTGTGCACAATTCTTCTTGCACCGGTGATGTTCATTGTCTACATAAATGATCTACCAGATGGTATATGGAATTATATGAACATGTTTGCTGATGATGCTAAGATAATAGCAAGGATAAGTAACTTAAACCACTGTCATTCCCTTCAAAAAGACCTGGACAAAATAAGTATATGAAGCACCACTTGGCAAATGGAATTTAATGTGAATAAATGCTATGTTATGGAATGTGGAATAGGAGAACATAGACCACACACAACCAATAAATTATGTGAGAAATCTTTAAAGAATTCTGAAAAAGAAAGAGATCTAGGGGTGGTTCTAAATAGAAAACTATTACCTGAGGGCCACATAAAGAACGTTGTGCGAGGAGCCTATGCTACGCTTTCTAACTTCAGAATTGCTTTTAAATACATGGATGGGGAAATACTAAAGAAATTGTTCATGACTTTTGTTAGGCCAAAGCTAGAATATGCAGTGGTTGTGTGGTGCCATATCTTAAGAAGCACATTAACAAACTGGAAAAGGTGCAAAGTCATGCTACTAAGTGGCTCCCAGAACTGAAGGGCAAGAGCTACGAGGAGAGGTTAAAGGCATTAAATATGCCAAAACTAGAAGACAGAAGAAAAAGAGGTGATATGATCACGACTTACAAAATAGTAACAGGAATTGACAAAATTGCTACGGAAGATTTCCCGAGACCTGGAACTTCAAGAACAAGAGATCATAGATTTAAACTAACTAAACAAAGATGCCAAAGAAATATAAGAAAATTCACTTTCGCAAATAGAGTGGTAGACGGTTGGAACAAGTTAGGTGAGAAGGTGGTGGAGGCAAAACCGTCAGTAGTTTCAAAGCGTTATATGACAAAGAGTGCTGGGAAGACGGGACACCACGAGCATAGCTCTCATCCTGTAACTACACTTAGGTAATTACAAGTTGAATGACAGATGAGAGGTATGACAAAGAGCTGAAGCTCAACCATCACTGGCACAATTAGGTGAGTACTGTGCCCCATCACCTCTCACCCATCTTACCCACCAGCATACCCTAACACCTCTCACAAATCTTGCCTAACACCTCCCACCCATCTGACCAAACACCTCCCACCTATCTTGGCAAACACCTCCCACCCATCTGGCCAAACACCTCCCACCCATCTGGCCAAACACCTCCCACCCATCTGGCCAAACACCTCCCACCCATCTGACCAAACACCTCCCACCCATCTTGCCAAACACCTCCCACCCATCTTGCCAAACACCTCCCACCCATCTTGCCAAACACCTCCCACCCATCTTGCCAAACACCTCCCACCCATTTTGCCAAACACCTCCCACCCATCTTGTCAAACACCTCCCACCCAGCTTGCCAAACTCCACCAATTCATCTTGCCCACTTCCATGTCACAACATCTCTCACCAATCTTGCCCACCACTGTGCCTTAACACCTTTCACTCCATCTTGCCCACCACCATGTCACAGAATGCCTCTCACCCATCTTTCAGACCATCATGTCCCAACACCTCTCACCCATCTCGTCCACCACCATACCCAAAATCTCTCACCCAACTTACCCACCACCATACCCAAAATCTCTCACCCATCTTGCCCCCTACCACACCTCAACACCTCTCGCCCATCTTGCCCACCACCGTGCCTCAACACCTCTCACCCATCTTGCCCACCACCGTGCCTCAACACCTCTCACCCATCTTGCTCACCACCGTGCCTCAACACCTCTCGCCCATCTTGCCCACCACCGTGCCTCAACACCTCTCACCCATCTTGCCCACCACCGGGCCTCAACACCTCTCACCCATCTTGCTCACCACCGTGCCTCAACACCTCTCACCCATCTTGCCCACCACCGGGCCTCAACACCTCTCACCCATCTTGCCCACCACCGTGCCTCAACACCTCTCACCCATCTTGCCCACCACCGGGCCTCAACACCTCTCGCCCATCTTGCCCACCACCGTGCCTCAACACCTCTCACCCATCTTGCCCACCACCGGGCCTCAACACCTCTCACCCATCTTGCTCACCACCGTGCCCCAACACCTCTCGCCCATCTTGCCCACCACCGTGCCTCAACACCTCTCACCCATCTTGCCCACCACCGTGCCCCAACACCTCTCACCCATCTTGCCCACCACTGTGCGTCAACACCATGCCCCAACACCTCCCACTAATCTTGCCGAACACTGTGCCCCAACACTTCTCGCCCATCTTGTCCACCACCGTGCCCCAACACCTCTCGTCCATCTTGCCCACCACCGTGCCCCAATACCTCTCATCCATCTTGCCCACCACTGTGCCTCAACACCATGCCCCAACACGTCCCACTAATCTTGCCGAACACTGTGCCCCAACACCTCCCACCCATTACCTTACCTTCTGGGGAGGGGTCACAGTCATAGTTGTTGGGTTTGTTCTCGACGCACAATCGAGAATTCTAGGTTTGAATCTCGAGCAGGACAGAAATGGTTGGGTAGATTTCCTTTCACCTAATGCACCTGTTCACCTAGCAGTTAGTAGGTACTCAGGAGTCAGCTTCTTGTGGGATTGCATTCTGGCTGGGGTCAGTAATTCGATCTTAGGGTGGGGAGGACCTCGATAAAAGCCTAATATGTATGAATAAACACAGGCTTCCTGTCCCCCGACACAATGTATTATTATTATTACTTTCTCCCAAGTATCTCATGCTGTTTGTCTCAGTGGTTATAAATAGACCTTATTTATAGGTTAAATATAGGTTAATTCTTATTAATTTTATATGCAGTACAGGTAGTTATCTTTACTACATGTGAATTCTATTATACTATAAAATACTAATATACAGCCATATGATGCATGTATGCAATCTCCAAGAACATATACATACCTTGTGTATCACCTAGTATCTCCTCTTTGTATCTCATTTTCCCAAATTGAGATAGTTCTTCCTCCCCTTTCCAGGATGACGCCATTAGTAGTTATTGTTTTTTTTCAAACTGCGGCCATTGCTCTTGTGATCTCTCACCTTTAGATAAAAGACTTCCTTCAGTACTGTACCTGTTCATTTCTACAACTTCTCGTTGCACTTTTCAATGTTTACTACATAATGTCCCTACAGCCTTCATTAACCTTTTCCTTCTAGTTTCCACACAATATAAAAGTATAAATTGTATTGTGATGGACAGCAATTTCCACCGATGATTAATTTAAAAAAAATTATTATAGCTCTTTTGCCTTCAAACAATATTTATTTCAATACTTTAATCCCTTTGTATCTCACATTCTTATTCAAGCACCCAAGAACCAACCTACTCTTGTTGCCTCAACATCTACTTTACTCAAACCATTTTTGTACCAAACTCACTCAGTTTTGGTTTAATTTTATTATGACTATACAGTATATTCATTCACTATTATCATAATTTTAATACAATGGAATAGCTACAAGAAAAAAATCCTGCTTCTCTAATGCTCAGTAAGTATTTTATAGCATTACATCCACTCAGTAGCGTGTATTCCTAAGAAGCAAGGTACGTATTGCTTACCCTATAAAAAGCTTTCCCTTCCAAATACAAATATCATTACACATACTGTACTTAGTTAACCTATTATTTAATTAAATTGTATATACTGTAGCATTCTATATTCCTTAGGTCTCAGATTCTCACGCAGCATTTGCTGCTTGAGAATCTGTCCTTTCAATATAATTACCCAAGAGTAATTACCTAAGTGTAGTTACAGAATGAGAGCTATGCTCATGATGTCCCGTCTTCCCAGCACTGTCATATAACGCTTTGAAATTATTGACGGTTTTGGCCTCCACCACCGCCTCACCTAGCTTGTTCCAACTGTCTACCACTCTATTTGCAAAAGTGAATTTTCTTATATTTCTTGAGCAGCTTTGTGCTTTGTTTAGTTAATTTAAGACTATGACCTCTTGTTCTTGAAGTTCCAGGTCTCAGGAATTCTTCCCTATCAATTCCTGCTACTATTTTGTATATAGCTCTTGCCCTTCAGTTCTGAGAGCCACTTAGTGGCATGGTTTTGCACCTTTACCAGTTTGTTGATGTGCTTCTTCAGATATGGCACCATACAACCACTGCATATTCCAGCTTTTGTCTAACAAAAGTCGTGAACAATTTCTTTAATATTTCGTCATACTGTATATTTAAAAGCAATTCTGAAGTTAGAAAGTGTAGCATAGGCCCCTCGCACAATGTTCTTCATGTGATTCTCAGGTGATAGTTTTCTATCTAGAACCACCCCCCCTAGATCTCTTTCTTTATCAGAATTCTTTAAAGATTTCTCACATAATTTATAGATTGTGTGGGAGTCTATGTTCTCCTGTTCCACATTCCATAACATGGTATTTATTTACATTAATTCCATTTGCCAAATACAGTAGTGCCCCATATACTTATTTTGTCCAGGTCTTCTTGGAGAGCATGACAATCATCTAAGTTACTGATCTTCCCTATCATCTTAGCATCATCAGCAAACATGTTCATATAATTCTGTATTCCACCTGGTAGATCATTTATATAGACAATGAACATTACCAGTGCAAGAACTGAACCCTGTGGTACTCCACTTGTGACATTTCTCCAGTCCAATATACTTCCTCTGATTACTACCCTCCTTTTTCTATCAGTCAGAAAATTTTTCATCCATGTTAGAAGCTTACCTGTCACCCCTCCAACATGTTCCAGTTTCCAGAACAACCTCTTATGTGGAACTCTGTGGAACTTTGTCGGAAGCCTATTTTAGGTCCAGATAGATGCAATCAACCGAACCATCTCTTTCCTGTAAAATCTCTGTGGCTTGATCATAGACTGAGTAAATTCATTATGCAAGATCTTCCATATCGAAAACCATACTGTCTGTCTGATATTATATAATTTTTTCCAGGTATTTCACCCACTTAGTTTTAATTATTTTTCCAATATTTTGACTGTTGCACTTGTCAACGATACAGGTCTATAATTGAGGGGGTCTTCCCTGCTGCCACTTTTGTAGACTGGAACTATGTCAGCGTTTTTCCACACATCTGCTACGACTCCTGTACACAGGGATGTCTGAAAAATCAGTTGAAGTGAAATACTGAGTTCAGGTGCACATTCTCTCAAAACCTAAATAGAACATGCAACATTCTATTTGCAGTAACCTCATCCCCATTCTTGCAGAATAAAATTATATGCCACTGCCAGATGTAAGATGAAAAGAAATACAGTACTGTAATTTAGTTTGTGTTACTCCCCTTTCTACAAAACCATGTAAAAAAAAGTTCAGATCAATCTAATATGCAGTGGAAAGCCTTCTGTAGCCAAGATATGTCTTCAATAGCATTTGCACTTACAGCATTCTCCCGGGGTTCTTCCCTGGTAGTATTAGGGAAGAGGAGCTGGCAGTACTGGATCATTACCATTTCATTAAATTCAAATTCATATCCAAAAATAATAATCATCTAACTTCCTTTTTCTGTTTCACAGGAACATATACAATGTAAATCATTATAAAATTATTACATTAAAATTATCATCATCATAGTCTTTGAGTGATGACATTAATAATGATAACAATTTTCAAATCTGTTAAGGTTTATTTCCAAAATGATGGTATGTGTATCACTGTGTGAGGTCACTGTACATCACAACACTCAACTTAAGAAATTCAATTGACTTTCAGAGGTGATGTGATGCTACACACATTTATTTAGATACATTTTTCCAAACTTAAAATCCAGTCACAATGTGCAAAGTACAATGTACTGTTGTACATGTCTTCCATTTTCAAATGATAATACATAAGAATACTTATGGTATAAAGATTTTTCAAATACACAGATTATTGCATGAACTGAGCAAGCCAGAATTTTACAGCAGTTACTGATCATTTTACTCTCAAGCCAAGAAGAATTCCATTGAACTATGTTTAAAATGATGTTAAAATAATTTTTTATGTCACTACTGTCTATTTATTGTTAAATGAATTATTATTTTTGTATTAATATTCACATTTCACTATCATCAAAGATCTGTCATTTGCTTACCCTAGCATTTTTTCACAACCTACCACTGCATCCGCTTCTAAATTTTAGAAACTTCATATACTATGCTCGCCTTTTCTTCTTCTCTATATTTGCAAAAATGTCTCCATTTTTAGACTTTACAAGAAATTAAATTCTCTGCTAAGTTCTATTCTTGTCTTCACCTGCTTTCCTTCCACCGATTCCTCTACTTCTCTTCCACCAATTCCTCTACAGTACTTTACTTCAACCAATTCCTTTGCTTTCCTTGCACAAAGGCTCTGGTTCCCTTGCAACTCTGCTGGTTCCCTTGCCTCCAACTCCTCCACTAGTTCCCTTGCTCCCAACTCCTCTGCTGGTTCCCTTGCCTCCAACTCCTCTGCTGGTTCCCTTGCCTCCAACTCCTCTGCTGGTTCCCTTGCCTCCAACTCCTCCACTGGTTCCCTTGCTCCCAACTCCTCTGCTGGTTCCCTTGCCTCCAACTCCTCTGCTGGTTCCCTTGCCCCCAACTCCTCCGCTGGTTCCCTTGCCTCCAACTCCTCCACTAGTTCCCTTGCCCCCAACTCCTCCGCTGGTTCCCTTGCCCCCAACTCCTCTGCTGGTTTCCTTGCCCCCAACTCCTCTGCTGGTTTCCTTGTCCCCAACTCCTCTGCTGGTTCCCTTGCCCCCAACTCCTCCGCTGGTTCCCTTGCCCCCAACTCCTCTGCTGGTTTCCTTGCCCCCAACTCCTCTGCTGGTTTCCTTGCCCCCAACTCCTCCACTAGTTCCCTTGCCCCCAACTCCTCCGCTGGTTCCCTTGCCTCCAACTCCTCCACTAGTTCCCTTGCCCCCAACTCCTCTGCTGGTTCCCTTGCCCCCAACTCCTCTGCTGGTTCCCTTGCCCCCAACTCCTCTGCTGGTTCCCTTGCCCCCAACTCCTCCGCTGGTTCCCTTGCCTCCAACTCCTCCACTAGTTCCCTTGCCCCCAACTCCTCCGCTGGTTCCCTTGCCCCCAACTCCTCTGCTGGTTTCCTTGCCCCCAACTCCTCTGCTGGTTCCCTTGCCCCCAACTCCTCTGCTGGTTTCCTTGCCCCCAACTCCTCTGCTGGTTCCCTTGCCCCCAACTCCTCCGCTGGTTCCCTTGCCTCCAACTCCTCCACTAGTTCCCTTGCCCCCAACTCCTCCGCTGGTTCCCTTGCCTCCAACTCCTCCACTAGTTCCCTTGCTCCCAACTCCTCTGCTGGTTCCCTTGCCCCCAACTCCTCCGCTGGTTCCCTTGCTCCCAACTCCTCTGCTGGTTCCCTTGCCCCCAACTCCTCTGCTGGTTCCTTGCCCCCAACTCCTCTGCTGGTTCCCTTGCCCCCAACTCCTCTGCTGGTTCCCTTGCCCCCAACTCCTCTGCTGGTTTCCTTGCCCCCAACTCCTCCACTGGTTCCCTTGCCCCAACTCCTCCACTAGTTCCCTTGCCCCCAACTCCTCTGCTGGTTCCCTTGCCCCCAACTCCTCCACTGGTTCCCTTGCCCCCAACTCCTCCACTGGTTCCCTTGCCCCCAACTCCTCCACTGGTTCCCTTGCCCCCAACTCCTCCACTGGTTCCCTTGCCCCCAACTCCTCCACTGGTTCCCTTGCCCCCAACTCCTCCACTGGTTCCCTTGCCCCCAACTCCTCCACTGGTTCCCTTGCCCCCAACTCCTCCACTGGTTCCCTTGCCCCCAACTCCTCCACTGGTTCCCTTGCCCCCAACTCCTCTGCTACCCTTCCATTACCTCCTCTGCTACTCTTCCATTACCTCCTCTGCTACCCTTCCATTACCTCCTCTGCTACTCTCCCATTACCTCCTCTGCTACTCTTCCATTACCTCCTCTGCTACTCTTCCATTACCTCCTCTGCTACTCTTCCATTACCTCCTCTGCTACTCTTCCATTACCTCCTCTGCTACTCTTCCATTACCTCCTCTGCTACTCTTCCATTACCTCCTCTGCTACTCTTCCATTACATCCTCTGCTACTCTTCCATTACATCCTCTGCTACTCTTCCATTACATCCTCTGCTACTCTTCCATTACATCCTCTGCTACTCTTCCATTACATCCTCTGCTACTCTTCCATTACATCCTCTGCTACTCTTCCATTACCTCCTCTGCTACTCTTCCATTACCTCCTCTGCTACTCTTGCACTAATTCCTCTCCGTCCCTTGCACTAAGGCCTCTGCTTTCCTTGTATTAAGTCCTCTACTTCCATTACACTAATTGCTCTGTTTCCCCTTGCACTAAGGTCCCTGCTTTCCTTTGCACCAATTCCTCTGCTTCCCTTGTACTAATTCTTCTGCTTTCCTTTGCACCAATTACTCTGCTTCCCACAAGAAATGTGCTAATTCTTCTGCTTCCCTTGTGCTAGTTACATGCTTACTTTTCCTCCTCTGCTTCCCTGTAAAAGTGACCTCCATGCTTTTTATCCTCTTGCATCCCTTGTAAAGACCTTTACTTTTAAGTGGAGCTTGTTGCACCAGTTATCATAGGGTCTCATAATACAGTTGGCTTCGTTTTCAACTCACTACTAGATATCCCAAGTTCAATTCCCAGGAGGAACAGAAATTTTTGGATGCATTTCCTTTCACCTAATGTCACTATTTAAGTACTGTAGCAGTAGATAGGTACTCAGGAGTAAGAGAACTGTTGTGAGGTTACATCCTGAGGAGGGTCAATAGTTTAACCTTGGAGGTGGCACCACGATACAAGCTTAAAAAAAAATATAAAACATATACATTATATATATACTGTATAGTATATGTATATATATATACACAAAGAAACACACATGCTTCCTGTCCCAGACAAAACTAATTATTATATTTTGGAATAAATTAAATTGCTTGAAAGATGAATGTTGAGAAGATAAAGATTGACAAAAGAATACAAATAAACGACCCACTTTGAAAGCATATATGAAGCATTGACCACAGAGAGCAACAGCTGACGAAGCTAATGATTATGAAGAATGTGTTATCTGAACATTTGTGTTCAAAATGCCATCACAAGTGCTATTCATCATTTTTGCCAATGTTTAATTTGTTTTAATATATCTTAGTAAGTATAGCTACAAGTATCATTAGTAGGGCTGTACTTACCAAGATGGTGGTGTTAATTCATAATACTGAATATGAACCATTGTCAAAAGCACTCATTTTCTCTAGTGATAACCATCATCTGTACAATGTGAATTTATATCTGCTTTATGTATATAAATAACTAAAATACTCAATATCTATAAAGTCAAACGCAGTATGAAATATTTGACCGACTCCTCCTTACAGATAAGGAAAATGAACTACAAAAGATAAAGCTGGCAAATGCCTTGCATCAGCTACGTGTAACGGGAAGTCATGAAAAGCAAGGTTGACGCTTATACTCTCCACTGCTTACTGTATTACCAAAGGGACAAGAAGCATATTACAAAACATTTAAGAAAGGTTAATCATTTCAGTGCTTTAAGAAATCTTTTATTAACATTAGCATTATTTGCTACAACATAATTCACATTAACACAATTTTGTTTATTATTAATTACAGAGTTCATTATAAGTTTCACTTGCCTTTCATGATCCCTATCCACAGCTGTTTAATGTACAAAACATTAATACATCTAAACAAGCACGAAAATATAAAACAAATTCTGATAATCAGATTATATATTTACTACTAGCATGCATCACACTAGTACTAGCATGTGTCATACTAGTACTAGCATGTGTCATACTAGCACTAGCATGTGTCATACTAGTACTAGCATGCATCATACTAGCACTAGCACGTGTCATACTAGTACTAGCACGTGTCATACTAGTACTAGCATGTGTCATACTAGTACTAGCATGTGTCATACTAGTACTAGCATGTGTCATACTAGTACTAGCACGTGTCATACTAGTACTAGCACGTGTCATACTAGTACTAGCATGTGTCATACTAGTACTAGCATGTGTCATACTAGCACTAGCATGTGTCATACTAGTACTAGCATGTGTCATACTAGTACTAGCACGTGTCATACTAGTACTAGCATGTGTCATACTAGTACTAGCATGTGTCATACTAGTACTAGCATGTGTCATACTAGCACTAGCACGTGTCATACTAGCACTAGCACGTGTCATACTAGCACTAGCATGTGTCATACTAGTACTAGCATGCATCATACTAGCACTAGCATGCGTCATACTAGCACTAGCATGCGTCATACTAGCACTAGCATGCGTCATACTAGCACTAGCATGCGTCATACTAGCACTAGCATGTGTCATACTAGCACTAGCATGTGTCATACTAGCACTACCATGTGTCATACTAGCACTAGCATGTGTCATACTAGCACTAGCATGTGTCATACTAGCACTAGCATGTGTCATACTAGTACTAGCATGTGTCATACTAGTACTAACATGTGTCATACTAGTACTAGCATGTGTCATACTAGTACTAGCATGTGTCATACTAGTACTAGCATGTGTCATACTAGTACTAGCATGTGTCATCCTTGTAGTAGCATGTGTCATATTAGTACTAGCATGTGTCATACTAATAGTAGCATGCATCATCCTAGTACTAGCATGCGTCATACTAGTACTAGCATGCGTCACAGTAGCACTAGCATGTGTCACACTAGCACTAGCATGCTTCACACTAGCATGCATCACACTAGCACTAGCATAAGCCACACTAGTACTAGCATGCATCATACTAGTACTAGCATGCATCACACTAGTATTAGCACTCATCACACTAGTATTAGCATGCATCACACTAGTATTAGCATGCATCATACTAGTACTAGCATGCATCACACTAGTACTAGCATGCATCACACTAGTACTAGCATGCATCACACTAGTACTAACATGCATCATACTAGTACTAGCATGCATCATACTAGTACTAGCATGCATCATACTAGTACTAGCATGCATCATTCTAGTACTAGCATGCATCATACTAGTATTAGCATGCATCATACTAGTATTAGCATGCATCATACTAGTACAGTACTAGCATGCATCATATTAGTACTAGCATGAATTATTTTCTACTATTAATATTATACTAGTACTGTATTAACACGTGTCATATTAATACTACCATGAGTCATACCAGTACTAGCATGAGTCGTGTACTAGTGTCATTAGCATGAGTGTCATATATCAGTACTAGTATCATACTAGAACTAGCATGTATCATATACCAGTACAAATGTCATACTAGTACTAGCATGTTCATATTAGCATTTTCATGTGTCATACCACAACCCATCCTCTTGTTTAGATAGTACTTTTTGTAACTGTGCACCATCGTACATATATTGACATTAGACAATTACGGTAGATAGAATTTGGTACTATTCACTTCCTAGTATAAAAAAAAAAAACTAATTTTTGTTAATATTCCTAGGCCTAGTATAGAACAAATAATTATAATAATAATAATTTTATTTACAAAAAGGTACAATGGATTTGTGAGATTACATAAGATTGGCATTTTTACATTCTTGTAAAGCCACCAACACGCATAGCATTTTGGGCTGATATTTATGTACTATATTAGGCTTAGGAAATTAAGTTAGTATAGATTTTCTTTGCAACAAATACAAAACCTTTTCCAGTTTGTCCAAATTCAATATTACAGATTTCTACTTTCTAATTGCCTTTTACGTCTATATGTGTATGATGGTCCTCATCATTACTAAAATTACTATCTAAACAGGATGGGCTGCATACCAGTACTAGCATGCCTCGGGCGCATGCCAGCATGTCTATGGCGCATGTCAGCACGACTATGGAGCATGTCAGCACGTCTAGGGGCACATGCTAGTATGTCTCTGGCGCATGCTAGAATGTCTCGGTGTATGCTAGGGTCTCATAGTAGAATGTTTCATACTAGAATGCCTCATATACTAGAACGTCTCATACTAATACTAGAACGTCTCATACTAATACTAGAACGTCTCATACTAATACTAGAATGTATCATACTAATACTAGAATGTCTCATACTAATACTAGAATGTTTCATACTGGAATCTTCCAGACTAGTACTAGCATGTGTCATACTACTACTAGCAAGTGTCATAATATTACTACTAGCATGGCATGTGTCACACTAGTCCTAGCATGTGTCACATTAGTACTAGCATGTGTCACACTAGTACTAGCATGTGTCACACTAGTACTAACGTGTCACATTAGTACTAGCATGTATCCTATTAATACGAGTATGCATCACACTACCACTAGCATACATCATACTAGTACTAGGATGTAGCATACTAATACTATCATGTATCAAACAAACATTACCATGTCATATTAGCACTAACATGTATCATCCTAGCACTCTCATGTATCAAACAGCACTAGCATGTGTAATAATAGCACTATCAAGGATCATACTAGCATTAGGATGTGCAATACTATTACTGTGTGTAATACTATTATCATCATGTATCATACTAGTACTAGAATTTGTAATACTTGCATAGCATCAATGATACATACTAGTATTATTACTATGATATTAGTATGTATCATAGCATGTATCACATTGGATAAAAACATTTATGTATTTGTGAAATTTACGTAAAGAAATTACTCCAAGCACACCAATACAAAAGAATTTGTGTAAGAATAGGGTAGAAGAGTTTGTAGGGGCCTCGTAGCCTGGTGGATAGCGCGCAGGACTCGTAATTCTGTGGCGCGGGTTCGATTCCCGCACGAGGCAGAAACAAATGGGCAAAGTTTCTTTCACCCTAAATGCCCCTGTTACCTAGCAGTAAATAGGTACCTGGGAGTTAGTCAGCTATCACGGGCTGCTTCCTGGGGGTGGAGGCCTGGTCGAGGACTGGGCCGCGGGGACACTAAAGCCCCGAAATCATCTCAAGATAACCTCAAGATAAGATGATAGAAATCCAGGAAGCATTTATTTATTACCTTATAGAGATTTTAATAAAGTCTATGTGAGAGAAACAGAGCAAACACTTGAGATCAGAATTGAAGAACATAAAGCATGTAGAATGATGGCTGGTAACAGTGCTGTAGCAAACCATAGTTGGGAAAATGATCACAATATTGATTTTAAGAAGTGTGAAATAATCTATAAGTAACAATATTTGAACTAGAAGGGTTTCTACTAAATACTCCGAATAATTTCGCTGGTAACAAAAGCTTTACTTCGGAAGATAGCTTTACTGGGAATACGATTATAAGTGAATTAAAATTAAATCTCAATAAATGGATGAAAGTAAACAGTCCCATTAGCCATGTTCCACGAGGTAGTGTGTGTTACGAGGGATAGCATCCAGATGAACACCTCTATTAATAACAACTCCAGTTCTTAGAATATCAGGATTACAGAAAGGACACCTGACCACAATTCGACAGACCACCACCACAGGTGCATCAGCAGTCAAGGATGAAGGTGACCTGGTCAGGAAGTTAAGAAGGATAAGAGGATTGGATCCAGGGGTAGCTTCATTAGTCATAGAGATGTAAGACTTGTCCTAACCACATACTTGAATCTTGACAAAGCACTTATGAGAGTGGGAAAGACTTGGTGTAATTTCTTGACATAAATTTCACAAATACACAAGTGTGGATTTTTATTGTTTATATCACAGAAGCATGTGCAATAGAAGTGCTAGAATGTATACACACTAGCATATTACTAGCACTAGCATGAGTCATACTAGAAGTAGCATGAGTCATACTATCATACTAGAAGCAACATGTGTCATAATGACAGTGGAGAAACCTTTCCTCCTGCTAAGATACTTGCTGATGATTAACAAAATAAACTAATAAAGACCACAGATGAATATAACAAAATAATTATACAATAACTTTTTTGTTGTTGTTGCCATGGTTGATGTACTGCACTTGACAGTTACAAGTGTGTGATGTTGCCATGGTTGATATACTTGAAAGTGGAAGGTGTGTGATATTGCCATTGTTTACATACTTGACAGGTTTGTGACGCTGTCCTAGTTAATATACTTGATAGTGACAAGTGTGTTATGTTGCCATGGCTAATATAGATGACAGTGACACATGCAATATGTTGCCATGGTAAATATACTTGATAGTGACAGGTGTGTGGGGAATTGCCAAGGCTAATATTCTTGACAATGACGTGTAATTACCTAAGTGTAGTTACAGGATGAGAGCTACGCTTGTGGTGTCCTGTCTTCCCAGCACTCTTTGTCATATAACGCTTTGAAACTACTGACGGTCTTGGCCTCCACCACCTTCTCACTTAACTTGTTCCAACCGTCTACCACTCTATTTGCGAAGGTGAATTTTCTTATAGCGTGATGTTACAATGGATGATATACTTGACTGTGACAGGTGTGTGTGGTATTGCCATGATTGACATACCTGTACTTGACAGAGACAGGTGTGTTCTTTCCATTATGGATATATATGAGTGACACGTGCACTATTTTGCCATGGTTGATATATTTGACAGTGACAGGTTAATTGCCTGGCTGATATACTTGGGTGACAGGTACACTACATGTAATAGTTCTGTGGCCCGATTTACTTGGTGACACATAGGAGGAGGAGGAGGATGGGAGGGGTGTTGTGTGTAATTACCTAAGTGTAGTTACAGGATAAGAACTACACTCATGGTGTCCCGTCTTCCCAACCCTCTTTATCATACAACGCTTTGAAATTACTGACAGTTTTGGCCTCCACCACCTTTTCACTTAACTTGTCCCAACCGTATACCACGCAGTTTGCGAAAGTGAATTTTCTTATATTTCTCCGGCAGCTTTGTTTCGTGAGTTTAAATCTATGACCTTTTGTTCTTGAAGTTCCAGGTCTCAGGAATTCTTCCCTATCAATTTTACCAATTCCTGTTACTATTTTGTACATAGTTATCATATCAACTCTTTCTTCCATCTTCAAGTTTTGACATATTTAATGCCTCTAACCTCTCCTTGTAGCTCTTGTCCTTCAGTTCTGTGAGATACTTTGTGGCATGTCTTAGCACCTTTTCCATTTCACTGATGTGCTTCTTAAGATATGGGCACCAAACAACCGCTGCATATTCCAGCGTTGGTCAAACAAAAGTACTGAACAATTTCTTTAGTATTTCACCATCCATGTTTTTAAAAGCAATTCTGAAGTTAGAATGTGTAGCATAGGCTCCTCACATAATGTTCTTAATGTGGTCCTCCGATGATAGTTTGATAGTTTTCTATCTAGAACCAGCCTTAGATCTCTTTATCAGAATTCTTTTAGAGATTTCTCACATAATTTATAGGTTGTGTGGGGTCTATGTTCTCCTATTCCTCATTCCATAACATGGCATTTATTCACATTAAATTCCATTTGCCAAATGGTACTCCATACACTTATTTTGTCCAAGTCTTCTTGAAGGGCATGACAGTCATCTAAATTTCATATCTTTCCTATTATCTTAGCATCATCAGCAAACATGTTCATATAATTCTGTATACCAATTGATAGATCATTTATGTAAACAATAAACATCACTGGTGCAAGAACTGAACCCTGTGGTGCTCCACTTGTGACATTTCTCCAGTCCGATACATTGCCTCTGATTACTGCCCTCATTTTTCTGTCAGTTAGGAAATTTTTCATCCATGTTAGAAGCTTACCTGTCACCCCTCCAATATTTTCCAGTTTCCAGAACAAGCTCTTATGTGGAACTCTGTCGAAAGCCTTTTTTAGGTCCAAATAGATGCAGTCAACCCAACCATCTCTTTCCTGTAAAATCTCTGTGGCTCGATCATAGAAACTGAGTAAATTCGATACACAGGATCTTCCAGATCGAAAACCATACTGTCTGTCTGATATTATATCATTTCTCTCCAGGTGTTCTACACATTTAGTTTTGATTAGTTTTTCCAATACTTTCACTATTACACTAGTCAATGATACAGGTCTATAATTGAGGGGGGTCTTCCCTGCTGCCACTTTTGTAGATTGGAACTATGTTAGCCTGTTTCCACACGTCTGCTACGACTCCTGTACACAGGGATGCCTGAAAGATCAGGTGAAGTGGAATGCTGAGCTCAGATGCACATTCTCTCAGAACCCATGGTGAAACGCAATCTGGGCCAGCTGCTTTGTTCTTACTGAGCTCCTTTTGCATATTTTCCACTTCATCTCTAGACACCTCTATACGCTCTATGTTGTTCTCTGGAATTCTTATCATGTCTGGTTCTCTGAAAATTTCATTTTGTACAAACACACTTTGGAACTTTTCGTTTAATGTTTCACACATTTCCTTTTTATTTTTCCGTGAATCTGTTTCCCATTTTCAACCTCTGGATATTATCCTTTACTTGCAATTTGTTGTTTATGAATTTGAAGAATAGGCCCGGTTCTGTTTTACATTTATCTGCTATCCCTTTTTCAAAATTTCTTTCTGCCTCTCTCCTTACTGCTGTATAGTTGTTTCTCGCATCTTTGGTGTGGGTGGGTGGGTGTGTGTGTGTGTGTGTGTGTGTGTGTAAAAAGAAAAAAAGAAAAAAAGTTTATTGACAGTTGAGAGGCAGGCCGAAAGAGCAGAGCTCATCCCCCGCAAGCACAACTTGGAGAATAAAGACCTATTATATCCATATTTGCATCATGAATGTAAAACCCAGATAATAATTTGTTAAATTTTCATATGATGATAACCACATTACTGTGTGAATCAACAGTTGACAATATCTACTGTCTAAGTGTTAAATACGCAAAAAAACAATGGCATCTCCAAACCTCATTTTAAATCCCACAACTACTTTAAGATTTTAGTTATCTCTTTTGTGTAGAAGTAAACAATAATATACAATTTCACTAAGATGAATATCTCTATATATAATGTTTGTACTTAAAATACCAATGTAAGCTTCATTATAAGGTATGATTTGAAACTGTATAAAGCAGTTCAAAGATGTCTTTACTGTGGCATGTAAGATCAGGTTTGATTGTGTTTTTTCAGAACCATGTTTCACAATTCTATAAAAATTACAATATTTTCTATTGTTACTCATTCAGCATAGTGATCCATGGTGCCTTGTCACTGTCATCGTGTGTGTGATGAAGTGCTTTTCATGTTAATTTTTTTATGATTAGTCATTCTTAGTACTGTACATGTAATTTCTATAATTATATTATACAGTATAACTAATTGTAAGAATTAAACTGATTAGTTCCCCTGCACACACAAATCAATATACTGTACTGTATATTTAAAAACTAAAATGCTAGAAAATAATAAAAAATATACAGGCAACAAAATCAATTTAAGGGCCAGACCCATTATATAACTACTGCACTTAGTCTAGGTAACTTTTACTATAAATTTATTCCAATCTGGAAAAGTTACTTCAAACTTACTTATCTCTTCCATTTAACAATGAAGTTTTGTCACTATGATGCTTCAACACATGTAACATGGCATCAGTGTTTCAGGTAAGCGTTTACTATTAACTTTGTGCATAGTATTTAGACATTACCACATTCTCTCCTGCCAAACATAAGTCCAATCATTTACGAAACTTTGTGGCATACATTGTCTTCTCTTGGGCAGAATAATGGTAATTGTATGGCTGGTGCTGCTCTGGTATAGTTAGACTTTCTACAAGGTCTGGTGTTACCTGGGCAGCCGCAGTAGCCACAGCTAAAGGATCATCATAGCGAGGTTCACGTTTGACGGCAATTGGCCTCTGGGGAACTTTTACATAAGCTGTAATCTTACTGGATGTTTGAGGAACATTTACATTAGCTGGTATTGTTAAAACAGGCATAACAGAAGCAATAGTTGTTACAGTTGTTATAGATGCAGGCTGAATAACTGGTGATATACTGGTATGCATTTGTCTATGAACTTCAAGAGTATAGCTCTTCGCAAAGCACATACCACAGTCATCACACTTGTACTGTTTATTTGGACGATGTGTTTGTTGATGAGCAAGAAACTTGCCATTTGTGGTGAAAGTCATATCACACTCATCACATTTAAATGGTTTGGACTCTCCGTATGGTTTTCTAATTGGTCTATCATCATAAATTGGAGGAACTCTACCTGACATACCATGACCATGTGCATACTTTACATGTTTTTTAAGAGTCACTAGCCTCATAAATTCTTCATCGCAAAGCTCACACTTAAAAGCCTTTTCCTTAAAGTGAGTTCGCCTATGATTTGTAAGGAGTCCTTTAGATGGAAACTGCTTACCACACACATCACATTCTTCTGGTTTTATACCTTTATGTTCCATCATATGCAGATCAAAAGACACCTTCTTTTCAAATATTTCTTCACAATATTCACAGTTAAATGGTCCTATGTCTTGATGTCTTTTTATATGTTGTCTCAATGCACTGCTATCAGAAAAAGCTTTACCACATTCATCACATGAATAGGGTTTCTCCCCAGTGTGAATCCTGCGATGCTTTGTTAGGTGATCACTTTGATAAAAAGATTTTCCACACTCGCTACATAAATAAGGTCGCTCTCCAGTATGAATTCTGAGATGGACGGTAAGCATACTTCGTTGTGTGAAGGCCTTCCCACATTCTTGGCACTTGTATGGCCTTTCACCAGTGTGAATTCGAGTGTGAACCACAAGATTACGATTGTTTGCAAAAGCCTTACCACACACTCCACACCGAAAAGGTTTTTCACCGGTATGAGTCTTCTTATGGTATTCAAAACTACTTCGTTTTGAAAATGTCTTACCACATTCCAAACACGTATATTTGCCATCACTTGACTCTGAGTTAATATGTTGTATCTGTTGTGACTGTTGAACTTGTTGAACTTGCTGGACCTGTTGCACCTGTTCAACTTGTAGCTGCTGGGCTTGTATTTGTTGGGCCTGTAGCTGCTGAGCCTGAAACTGTTGGGCCTGCTTGGTCCAAAAGTACAGAGGGAGTTGATCATCCATGCCTGGGAACTTCCTGCTTAAGTGGAACTCCATTGCTTTTTACCAAGTCCCTAAACATGATGCCCCCTGCCACCCACAGCCCTCACACCCCACTGCAGTAAGAAAAGTGATGACAAACATAATATACCATTAACAAAATTAACATAAAAATTAATTAGGAAAATTATCAAAAAGCACCTTTGAAATCTTCTGATGCACCATCTAATGAAGTTGTCAATGCCTTGAGACACCTTCAACTACACATGCTCTTCAATGACACCTTTCCTGTAAATGAAAAATAACCAGCATTGAATGCAATGAAATGCTAATTTCTGGTTGAGTCCCGGTGGCTCCCCGAAGCTATCACTGATAGTGTACCATTTACTAGGTCGCATTAGGTGCAGAGTTCTATAGGCTTACTGGAGACCAGTGTCAGAACTTGGCCCCTCACGCAGGTGCAGGGAGTGGTGGTAATTATTTATTTGATTTATGCCATCACTAAGGAAGCAACCAGAAAGTCAGTGAGAAAAAAACAGACTACAGCTGGCTTGAATAGATTGCAGCCTCAAGAACTCTCCAACGGTGTAAGCAAATTATCAAAATCTCTCCAAACTAGCGCAAGCTCATTGGTCCCACCTCCCTCACTAGTTTGGATTGAGGAGGGAGGTAGTTTGTAGTAAGGCAGTTACTCCACCCTAAGTTCTATGGTAGATGTAACCAATCCCCAATGACCGGGAGGGAGGGAGAGGGGTGTCAGGGAGCCACTGAGGCTCACCCTAAAATTGGCATTTCATTACATTCAACACTCATCTTGTAAAGGTTCTACAGAGTCCTTAGTTTTGGTTTTACTTCTTGTAAAAGCATAGAATGACTTTGGATCTATCTTTATGTTTTGGGCAAGTTTTCTCTCATAGTTTCTTTTGGCTAAACTGATTTCCTGGGTGGCTGAATTTAATGCCCTTTTATATCTCTTAATCTATGATGTTCATCGTGGATTTATACCTTCTCCAGAGGTATAAACTACTTACCTATCTTGTGGAGGGTCCGGTGGCCCAGTCTCCGACCAGGCCTCCCGGTCGGTCATCTGGTCAACCAGGCTGTTGGACGCGACTGCTCGCAGCCTGATGTATGAATCACAGCCTTGTTGATCAAGTATTCTTTGAAGGTCTTGTCGAGTCCTCTCTTGCACACTGCGAGAGGCCGGCCAGTTATGCCCCTTATGTGTAGCGGGAGTGTTGAAAAGTCTTGGGCCCTTGATGTTGATAGAGTTCTCCCTCAGCATAACTATTGCACCTCTGCTTTTCAATGGGGCTATTTTGCAGATCCTGCTCTGCCTACTAGTTTCATATGATGTAACCTCTGTGTTCAGATTTGGAACCAGTCCCTCTAATATTTTCCACTTCTAGATTATTCTCTCTCTCTCTCGCCTGCACTTCAGGTAATACAGATTTAGGCTTTTTAATCGGTCCCAATAATTAAGATGACTTATAGAGTAGATTCTAGTGGTAAAGGATCTTTCCTACACACATGGAATCACAACATCTACATAACCCTACATATGAGGTAGGCCATCAATTTCTCTGGCTTTCAATGGGGCTTTTAGTGTGCAACAATATTCCACCCTGGAAAGCACTGTCTTGAAAAGTATTATCACTGGTATGGCATTTCTTGTTTGGAAGATCCTTGTTATCCAACCTATTATTTTTCTTGGTCGTGACTTTATTGTGTGCTTTAAAGGTAAGGTCCTCCGACAAGATTACGCCTAGATCCTTTACATTACTTTTTTGTTTTAGTGTAATTAGATTCCGTTTTATATATGGTTCCCATTTTTACCTTTTCATTTCTTCCATAGCACAGAAGCGGAACATATTTTTATTAAACATCATATTATTATTGAAATCTCGTTATCTTGAAGATCTCGTTATCTTTGCTTGGGTGAACACAGTCCACAGAAACATCAAACATCAACACCTGAACACGAAGGCGTATTACAAACCTACAAACCTTCATGCATACTTGAAGTTCGACTCATACCATCCGCTAGCCCTAAAGAAATCATTACCCTCTCCTTAGGATTATGCTTTAAAAGAATAAACAGCAAGGACGAAACCCTCTACCCCCAGGTAGATGACCCGTGGGAGATGTTTACGCACAGATGTTATCCCGAGGAAACGCTGAACCAAGCCCAGGAGAAACTACGAGGGAAGACCAGAGAACAACTTCTCAGGCCCCCAGCCCCACAGTTGGAGGATAGGAGATGGATCCTCCCTACCCTGTTCTTTCCTGGTTTTGCTGGGAAACTAAAACAGAAACTCTCAGATGTATGGACCTGAATGAGGTAGACCTACAGTGACCACCCTTCTTTGGAGAATTTCCCACAAAATCCACCAATGATTGCATAGAGGCGAGGTAAGTCCTTCAAGGACCACCTCGTCCGAGCAGGTCTACAACCTGGCACCCACGACCCGACAAGGGAGGAGGACAACCATGCCAAACCTGTCAAAACCCACCCGCGCATACCTAACCTGACACAGGAGTCTGCACAACACACCAAGGTAACCGAAGTATATAGAGTGGTTAGGAGGGACCTACATGCAAACAATCGGCCCATTGAAAAGACCTAATTTACATCAGACTGGAGGTTTGCTGTGTACTCTATCGACTCGCATGAAAATCCTAGTGTCATCTGCAAATGATGATACAGTACTGTAGTTAGTATCCTTGTCTATGTCTGATATGAGGATGAGTAAAAATACCAGAGCAAGTACAATACCTTGAGGGGCTAAGCTTTTCATTGTATATGATCCGGATTTTACCGTGTTGACTATTACACTATGAACTATGCATTTTGTTCATTAGGAAGTTGAAGATCCAGCTCCCTACTTTGCCAGTAATTCCTTTTGCATGCATTTTGCGTGCAATAACATCATGCTTACACTTGTCGATAGTTTTTGCAAAGTCTGTGTATATTACCACAGTATATTGTGTATACAGTATTGCATTTTCCTTCCATGGCACCTAAGGCCATGTCATAGTGATCTAGCAACTGTGAGAGGCATGAGTGCCCAGTTCTGAACCCATGTTGCTCAGGATTATGTAGATGTCATGATTCCATGTGATTTATAATCTTACTTCTTAGCACTTTTTCAAAGATTTTTATGATGAGTGAAGTTAAAAGCTATTAGTCTATAACTTTTTGCATCTGCTTTACTACTTCCTTTGTAAAGTGGCAAGATCTCTGCTGTTTTAAGTATGTCAGGGATGACACCAGTATCTAGGCTCTGTCCCCAAAAGATGTTTAGGGCCTGTGATAGTGGTGTCTTGCACTTCCTGATGAATATAGAATTCCAGGAGTCTGGGCCTGGTGCTTGTCTAAGGTTCTGCTTAGGTAAAAGCTCTGTTTACTACCTGTGTCATACATCTAGTTCCCTTTCTTTTCTTCTTTTTAGTACATATTTTTGAACGAGTTCAGTAATTACCTTTCAGAAGTTTTCCCATGATGCTTCCACGTCATGGTCACCTATCAGCTTCCTCCATGTGGTGTTTTGCATCATGGGGGAGAACAGGAGCAAAGAGGTATGCATTGAGGGATTCAAAAGAACCCCCAGAAACACCAACAGCACAGTGGACCCCTTCCTCCCCCCACAATAAACACTCCCAACCCCAGGAAAGGAAGATAGCCAAACAAAAGCCAGCTTACCTGAAAAGTGAGGGAAACCACAAGCGAAGATACCCCAGTCCCCCTACTGGAGTGATATTCCAAACTCATCAGGGAAAATAACCCTTACTGACTCACCAGGGAAAATAACCCTTACTGTGCTAGAGCAGCACTTGAGGAACACCCAGGGAAGGTAATCCTGAGCACATGCAGCTCCAGGTGTAAAAAACTCCTAGCTCATGCTGCATAACACGTGCAAGGAACAGCCTCAAAGGCAAACACCACTTAGCTAAGGACAGGAAACTGGAGCCACAGTTATCAGAGATGGCAGTCAGATACTGTCCACATGAGCAAATAACTGCTGATGGAGAAGCCACCTGACCTGGTCTGACTTCCTCCTCCACCCGAAACAATGAGGGGAAAGGTAGGGCGAACGAGTTCTTGTTAATTTCACAAATTTTCAATCATTTGTTTACTTGGTTGTGGGGGAAGGGGGAGTTCTTTTGGCTGTTTTGAGGCTACAGTATGGTTTATAACCAAGCATTGGTCTGTTTTGTTTTGCTGACTTTCTGGGTACCTTTCCTTGGTGGTGGTAGACATGAATATATAAACAAATAAAATTGTTCATAGTGCCACTACTGCTTGTGCCTCTTTGAGGAGCCCGTTTCTGGCTCATGGTCCCGAATAAGCCAATAAAAACTCCATGATTTGTTCGCACCTAATAGTTTGGTACTTTATCAGCATAGTAGCTTCAGGAAGCCACAAGTGGCTCCCCAAAAACATAAAATCATATATAAAATAATGGAAAGCTTAATCATTCCATAAGAAAAAGTTTAAAAAGATATATAATTTCAGGAAAACTCGGCTTGTTAGGTAACTTGGCGTATTAGGTACAACATATATCAGGTGAAACCCAATCAGGGTTTCACACATTGCCCCAGGTACTCTGGCTTATGGTCTAGTAGTCCTTCCTCCAATGCTTCTCATTATATGTACAATGAAATCACATTAACATGATGTGTCAATAAGAAAATCAGTAGGAGCCATGAGGAGAGTTCAAAGCTAGAGTGTGAGGGGACAATGCATGAAACCCTGATTGGGCTTCAGGTGGAAGCCTCAGGATCCCTAGAGGATTCAGTGGAATCCAAGGTTGCATTGCTTTTACCATGTCATGGTGTTGTGATCTAAAGCATTTGCTTGGGAGTACCAAAGAAGCAGGTTCAAATCCTCCTCGTGGCTCCTAATGATTTTCTAATAATAAATAAATAAATAAATGAATAATTTACACACAGTATATATATTACATATATGTTTTATTCATTTATTTTTTATTTTGATAAGATAGATGAAGCTGAAACAAAATATCTAAACATCACATACCTCAGTCCCACGTACAATGAATTGCTGCCACTGCTGCATATCTCATCTAATATGCATGATGTAATTGTGAAGTCCTTGTCAAGATACCTGAAATGTGTAAGTCACGAATGGTAAGCCCTACATTGAAAATTAATATTATAATCAAACATTTGGTTGACCAAATAAATAAATAAATATATATATATATATATATATATATATATATATATATATATATATATATATATATATAATATATATATTTATATATATATTTAATATTTAATATTCATATTTAATATTCATATTTAATATTATATGTCTTATTTTATTTATATATATATATATTATATATATACTATATATATATATATATATAACACAATAAAAAAAAAATTATATATATATATATATATATATATATATATATATATATATATATATATATATATATATATATATATATATATATATATATATATATATATATATATATATATATATATATATATATATATATATATATATATATATATATATATATATATATATATATATATATATATATATATTATATATATATATATATATATATATATATATATATATATATATATATATATATATATATATATATATATATATATATATATATATATATATATATATATATATATATATATATAAGCAACGCAACTGAAGCAACGCAACTGGTATGTACAAGACGCCTTAATCCACTAATCCTGTGGATTAAGGCGTCTTGTACATACCAGTTGCGTTGCTTCTTAATGGAGCCCTGTTGCTTATGCATCGTTAAACGCCTAGAAAGAGATGTTGTTGTCTTGCCTATATACTGGGTTTTTTGGAGCTTACAGTCCCCAAGTGGGCATTTGAAGGCATAGACGACGTTAGTCTCTTTTAAAGCGTTCTGTTTTGTGTCTGGAGAGTATGGGTTCGAGTCACTTCTGGGGTGTGAGTTTTCAGTTGCATATTGTCCTGGGGACCATTCAGGCTTGTTCGCATATATATATATATATATATATATATATATATATATATATATATATATATTATTAAATAAGACATATAATATTAAATATGACCGACAAAGTAAGATTAATAATTCTAACACGAATTTTCTCAATATTTCTTATACAGTATTTCTTTTCACTGTTGATGGTAATTGAAAAATCAATTCTCCAAAATTCATTTTTATTTCTAGTGACGCGACACTTGAACGCGTTTCGTAATAACTGATTACATTTTCAAAGACTTGCAGTTTACACACACACAACTATAACCTGCAAACACTAAACAGAGTTCTTACTACACTATGATTTAAACAGCTTTCATTTTATTTTATACCCGCATTTTGGGTGAGGTGATATGTTACAACAGTTTTGGATGAGGTGAACAAAACTTTCAACACAAGACAGAACACGAAACAATGGGTATTAATTGGGTAAATTGAAGGTAAGAATGGAAGTAACTGCAGAGGGCCTATTGGCCCATATTTCTTGATGCTTCTATATTGGAGCGGAGTCTTGAAGTGGGTAGAATATAGTTGTGCATTAATTGGCTGTTGACACCAGCCAATTGATATACTCAAGAACGATTGATATACTCTATACGTAACACAGTGTCTTGGGACAGTACGGATATTTTACTGCCATAATATAGTGTACGTGTTCATTATACATAGGATTAGCACGTAAAAACAAATAAAAATGTATTTGGAACTGTGTGCAAAAAATGAACATAAATATATTCGGAACTTGCGCGCCTCGCCCCGGGCGCCCTACTGGCCCCGGGAGCGTACGTCACGGTCAAACGGGGAATGATGACATCACACTCCAACTTACAGACCCCATAGCAGCCAAAGTAAGCACAATTTCGATTTTTTTTTTACATACCCATACTAAGGGAAGGGTTTTTGACACTTTAAAAAAATCAAAAGAATTTTTTCCAGAGAATTTATTTCCTGCGCACTTGGGGGGGGGGGTCATATTTGGAGGCAACGCAGTTAAGGGGTTAAACGATTTGGAGGGTCGTATTCCGGGGAAAAATTAGGATTACGGACCTTCCCGAAACAGTATGTGTGCTAGTGGCTTTTCAAGAATGCAAGCAATCTTATATATATAAAAAAACTAACCAAACTCCTGGATACCTACATACTGTTAGGTGAACAGGCACATTTATTTATTTATATGCAAGAAGGTACATTGGGTTTATGAGAGTACATAGCATTGATGTTTTTACATTCTTGTAAAGCCACTAACACACACTGTTTCGGGCAAGTCCTTAATTAATCTAACAGATAATTTTAAGTAGGTAATTTATAGCAAACCTGAAAAAAATGTTAACAGGTACATTGTAAGAAAATTTGACAAAGATTAGTAGGTACATTAAAGTAAAATTTGAGGGTTATCAACAGGTACACTGTAGCATAATTTGAGGATTATTTCAAGGTATAATGAAGTAAAATATGCATTCAATATAACAACCATGATACAAGACGATAGCAATGATTACAATTGTGAAGTTGTATGGCTAAGGTACATATATTGGGGTATTGGGTAGCACTAGGTAGGAAACTATAAAGATGAAATAAGATACTTTTTGGTTTTATTTTTGAATAAGGCAAAAGTTGGACAGCTTTTTAATTTGTTTGGGAGCGAGTTCCATAGACTAGGTCCTGTTTTTTGCACCGAGTGTTTACACAGATTAAGTTTGACTCTGGGGATATCAAAGATATATTTTTTTCTGGTGTGATGATTATGGGTTCTATTACACCTGTCCAGGAAGAGTTTCAGAACAGGGTTTGCATTTAAGAAAAGGGTTTTGTAAATGTAAATGTCACAAGAAAATGTGTGGTGAGTTTATGTTTAACATGTTTAGGGATTTAAACAGGGGGGGGGGGGCTGAGTGTTGTCTGAAAACAGAGTTTGTTATTGTTCTGATAGCAGATTTTTGCTGGGTGATGATGGGCTTGAGGTAGTTTGTAATGGTTGAGCCCAGGTACAAATACCATATATAAGATAGGGATAGATTAGCACATAGTATAGTGAGAAGAGAGCAGAGTTTGGAACATAATATCCGATTTTAGAGAATATATCAATCGTTCTTGAGACTTTCTTGGTCGTGTGTTGTATGTGGGTGCTGAAGTTGAGTCCCTTGTCAAAGTATAGGCCAAGGAACTTTGCATCATTTTTATTGCTGACACTGTATTAACATTGTCTATCTGAAGCTGAATTGCATTTGTTGATTTGTTTCCAAATACAGTAATATGTACTGCAGTAGGTTTTTTCTATGTTTAGTGTGAGTTTGTTGGTCGACATCCATAAGTAGAGTTTTTTCATTCATTATTTACAATACAGTATTATTTAATGTGTGTGGGTTGGGGTCCGAGTAGATGAGGGTAGTATCGGCAGCAAATAATATAGGTTTAAGACTGTTAGAGACATTAGGCAGATCACTGATGTATATGGTTAACAGTATCATAGGCAATTCTCAGGTCAATGAAGAGTCCAATCGGAAACTCATTTTTGTCAAGGGCTAAGTAGATTATATCAAGCAAACTAATAATTACATCGTTGGTACTCTTTTTTGGGAGCAAAAGCCAAACTGACAGGGACTTAGTACTGTACATTGAATTTTACAAGGTAGGAGTAGAGATGTTTGCAAACAAGTGTCAAATATTTTTGATAATATAGGTAGATTTGATATGGGTCTGTAATTGTTTATGTCTGTCGGAGTGCCTCCTTTATGAACTGGCATTACTCTTGCTTTTTTAAGGAAATCAGGGAAGGTATGACACTCTAGAGATTTATTGAACAGCAGAGCTATGGGTGGCACAAGGGCATTGGAGGCACTCTTGTATACCATAGATGGAATTTCACTAATGTTCTGGCTTTAGTTTTTAGTGAGTGAATGATGGACAACATCTGTCAGGCTGACTGGTGAAAGGACAAGAGAGTTTGGATAGCTGCCTGAAAAATGTGTGATAACGTGTGTCTAAGTCTGTGGGATTTTTCTGGCAAAGTGAGCACCAACCGATGAAAAGAAGCTAATAATTTCAGTTGCAGTTTCTAAATCTGTTGAAGGTGTATAACCATTCTTGGAGAGCTTTATCTGGTTATGTGAATGTTGTTTAGATCCTAGGATGTTAGAGATAGTTCTCCAAAAGCATATTGCCTTTTTGCTTCTTTGAATCTACTCTCATAATAGGAAAGTTTTTGCTTTTCTTATTATACTGGTAAGCATTGATGAGTACCTCTTAACTACTTCCTTTGTAACTAGGTCAATCCGAAGTTTTTTCATATTCATGTTATTTGTTGATTACTTGAGTATGCCACTTGTGAGCCAGGGATTGTTTAATATTTTGCCAGTTGCCTGCTTGGTGAGGAGAGGAGAGGACAATGAGTGTTGTAGAGGCTTAAGAGTTTTGAAAAGGAAGAGGTTAGCTAATGAATTTATATCATGTGTATTATTGAATTTAGATTCCTAGTTTATATTGTGAAGTGCATTTGTGAGATTGCCTATTGCTGCTTCTCTGTGTAACCTGAAGGCAAGTGTCTTGTTATGACATTAGGCGATAGGAAACATGCTTAACTATAAACACAGAAATCACAATAGCACGATACTGTGATAGGCGCCCTATATAATAGGGCGCCTAAAAGCTGAGTGGACAACGCTTCGGATTCGTAGTCCGGAGGTTCCGGGTTCGATCCCCAGTGGAGGCAGAGACAAATGGGCAAAATGTTTCTTTCACCCCTGATGCCCCTGTTACCTACCAGTAAATAAGTTTTACTTATTTACTTTACTCCCAACACCTCAAACCAATTCTATTTGCTGACGACACAACCTTCATTTACTCCAGTCCTGATCCCCTTGCTCTAAATGCCACAGTAAATACTGAGCTAAATAAAGTCCATCTGTGGTTAACTGCCAACAAACTCACCCTTAACATTGACAAAACTTTCTATATTCTGTTTGGCAATAAATCCTCTAATCAAATAAATCTCAAAATAAACAATACCCAAATTTGTAACAAATTAGATGGCAAATTCCTTGGCATTCTCATTGACCACAAGCTGAATTTCCAGGGACACATTCTAAACATATCAAAAAAAGTTTCAAAAACTGTGGGAATTCTTTCTAAGATCAGATATTATGTACCACGCCCTGCCCTGGTGACTCTCTATTACTCCCTTATCTATCCATATCTCAACTATGGTATTTGTGCTTGGGGCTCTACTACCCAAAATCACTTACGTCCTCTAATTACTCAACACAAAGCTGCTATTAGGACAATATCCAATTCTGGCCCCAGACATCACTCGGTACCCCTACTCAAATCTCTGAATATGTTAGACATTAAGTCACTGCACATTCTCTCATGTGTATTATACATATATAAAACGCTAAACTATAATGCCAATCCTGATCTCAAATGCTTCATTGAAGGTTGTAACAGAACTCATGAGCACCACACCAGAAATAAATACAGTTTTGATATTCCTAGAGTACGACTTAATCAAACCAGAAATGCTCTACAAATCAAGGGGCCCAGAATGTGGAATGACCTTCCCAACCATGTTAAAGACTGTACCTCTCTCAACCAGTTTAAGTTAAAAACTAAGCTATACCTAATAAATTCCCTGTAACCTACCTTACCCCTCTGTTGTCAACCCATGTATGTTTTTTGTTTTTTTTTTCCAAATCAACGCTGTTTGAATGTAATTTTCTATAATAATTTGTAATTGTATTTGTGCTGCTTTTTCAACAATGTTCCCCCCTCTTTTACCTCTATTTTTATTTGTTCTCAACACATTTTATTCTTTTTACCCATTAGTTTTAAGCTTTAGTCATTAATGTTTTTCCTGCCCGAAACGCTTTGCGTAATAGTGGCTTTAGGCATTGTATGTACTAGCTCTATCTATAAAGCCAACAAACTTTGTAAAATCTCTTTATGTATGTACCTTACCTAAATAAAAATTATTATTATTATTATTATTATTATTAAGTACCTGGGAGTTAGACAGCTGCTACGGGCTGCTTCCTGGGGGGTGTTTAACAAAAAGCAGGCCTGGTCGAGGACTGGGCCGCGGGGATGCTAAGCCCCGAAATCATCTCAAAATATATTCTGCGTCAATAGCGTTTCTGCCCGAAATGCTAAGTGTACTAATGGCTTTACAAGACTGTAAAACATCAAATCTCTGTACTCTCATCCCCAATGTACCTTCTTGTATATAAATAAATAAAAAATAAATAATTATCAAATGAACAAATCCACAAGGGCCGTGATGAGGGTTCGAACCTACAAACCCCACAGTTGACTAAGGTGCAGCTGGGAACATCCCGTCCATGGGTTTATCCCTCATCACGGCCTTTGTGGATTTGTTCATATACCCAACTACAGTATTTCTGTCCCGCTCCAGGATTCAACCTCGACATTCTCGATTGTGAATTCCGGCCTCGAATCCTGAGCAGGACAGAAATCCACCAATAAGTATATCTTCACTGTCTATACTTCATATGTATATTACTTCAATGCCCAAAATGCTATGCTGTTAGGAGTTTTGCAAGAATGTAAAAATACAAATTTTATGTAATCTCACCAACCCATTGTACCTTCTTGCAAATAAATTATTATTATTATTATTATGGTTATCACTGCTTTACTCTTTAGTTTCCAAAATAAAATAGAGATCCAAGAGAAACATTTGCAAATTCTACTGGACATAAAATACTGCACCATATATTCACTGATTGTCAACTTCAGTATTTTATTCATATTACAATCAATAATATGAGGCATGACTGAATTGTTGCTATAACTTGGAGGAAGAGTCACTGGTAATAGTGTAGAGCATTCACTAGGTGACTCCATTCATGAATAGTTATCTGCTCAACACTCCGGCAGTGACCAACACCTGCCCTCCACACTTGTCTTCTTATCAGTCTTCCTGGCTACCAAATTACAGGAAAATCAATATCTTAGGAAATTTCAGAAGACGTGAGTGAGCTAAGATGTTAGGGGTCCCGGGGTGGCAGTAGTGCTGATGAGAGGCAAGCCCCGCCAGGACTCGCTCACTGCTCATAACCTCTCACACTTATGCTCACAACTGTCACTCTCAGTTGTGAGTGTGAACCAAGACAAGGCTGACTGACAGTACCTCCAGTGAGTCTAGTCCTCCATCTCTCTCTCAAAACACCTGACCCAGTGGCCGCCAGGGCCCAGCCTCCCCCGAGGTCTGGCCCAGCATCTTGGGGTACTCTACACCTGCCGCCACTAGTTACCAGTGTGAAGGAGGCGTGGGTGTGGTGGCGACACAGGGACGACGGCGTCACCACTGGTCCACCTCCGCCTCGTAGTGGCAAATGGCGTTCTGGTGCTCCGCCGCCAAGCTCCTCAACCTCCCACCACACACCTTTTCACAATACTTCGGACACCACCACTGTGCTTGGTCCGCGCACACCACGGTACACATCATCTCCGGTGCTTCCTCAGCACACATCACACGGGATGCTAGTTATAGTTTATAGTTCATGTTCACGTATTATGTACTATGCCTGTAAGTTAAGGATTTTATATATATATATATATTTATGTATATATATATATATATATATATATATATATATATATATATATATATATATATATATATATATATATATATATATATGTCGTACCTAGTAGCCAGAACGCACTTTTTGGACTACTATGCAAGGCCCGATTTGCCTAATAAGCCAAGTTTTCCTGAATTAATATGTTTTCTCTAATTTTTTTCTTATGAAATGATAAAGCTACCCATTTTATTATGTATGAGGGAAATTTTTTTTTATTGGAGTTAAAATTAACGTAGATATATGACCGAACCTAACCAACCCTACCTTTTTTTTTTTTTTTTTTTTTTTTTTTTTTTTTTTTTTTTTTTTTGAGATATATACAAGAGTTGTTACATTCTTGTACAGCCACTAGTACGCGTAGCGTTTCGGGCAAGTCCTTAATCCTATGGTCCCTGGAATACGATCCCCTGCCGCGAAGAATCGTTTTTTCATCCAAGTACACATTTTACTGTTGCGTTAAACAGAGGCTACAGTTAAGGAATTGCGCCCAGTAAATCCTCCCCGGCCAGGATACGAACCCATGACATAGCGCTCGCGGAACGCCAGGCGAGTGTCTTACCACTACACCACGGAGACTGCATATACCTAACCTAACCTAACCTATCTTTATAGGTTAGGTTAGGTTAGGTAGCCGAAAATGTTAGGTTAGGTTAGGTTAGGTAGGTTAGGTTGTCGAAAAAACATTAATTCATGAAAACTTGGCTTATTAGGCAAATCGGGCCTTGCATATTAGGTTGAGAAGTGCGTTCTGGCTATTAGGTACGACATATATATATATATATATATATATATATATATATATATATATATATATATATATATATATATATATATATATATATATATATATATATATATATATATATATATATATATATATATATATATATATATATATATATATATATATATATATATATATATACATGTCGTACCTATTAGCCAGAACTCACTTCTCAGCCTACTATGCAAGGCCCGATTTGCCTAATAAGCCAAGTTTTCCTGAACTAATATATTTTCTCTAATTTTTTTCTTATGACACACACACATATATATATATATATATATATATATATATATATATATATATATATATATTATGTGTGTGTGTATATATATATTATATTCCATATGAATATATGTACCTATTCTATATGAAAGATTACAGTGTGACCATAGTCTCGTATAGTGATCCCTGGGACGTTACAGCTGTTACTGGTCGTCAGTGTTGTCAGCTGTCATCACCGAGGAGGGACGGCGAGGCAGTGGTACACACCCAACTCCCAACCAGTTTTCGGCATAAAATATTCGGCCCCGTTGCGCCCAGGACTGCTAGATATGGCGACCCCAGCTCCTCAGGCAGATTTGCCCTGGTGGCAGAAGTATTTGGCCCGCGGCGTCGGTTGCGGCGGAGGCATAAGTGAGTTCAATATTGAACGCTGATCTATGGCAGCCAGCCCTGATAGCAAGGCTTTCGGTACTGCTGTAGAAATTTTGATGCAGCTGTAGAGCTTTTGATGCAGCTGTAGAGCTTTTGGTGCAGCTGTAGAGATTTTGGTGCAGCTGTACAGATTTTGGTGCTGCTGTAGAAATTTTGGTGCAGCTGTAGAGCTTTTGGTGCTGCTGTACGGCTTTTGGTGCTGCTGTAGAGATTTTGGTGCAGCTGTAGGGCTTTTGGTGCTGCTGTAGAGCTTTTGGTGCTGTTGTAGGGCTTTTGGTGCTGCTGTAGGGCTTAGTTAATCGTGTAGGCCTTGCAGGTGGTGCTTCTGCTGTTGTTTGGCTCACAGGTGCTGATACTGCTGTAGGGGTTACAGGTACTGCTGTTGTAGAGCTCACAGGTGCTGCTGCTGATGTAGGGTTCGCAGGCAGTGGTGGTGCTGCTGCTGTAGGGCTCGCTGGCGGTGGTGTTGCTGCTGCTGTAGGGCTCGCAGGCGGTGGTGCTGCTGCTGATGTAGGGTTCGCAGGCAGTGGTGGTGCTGCTGATGTAGGGTTCGCAGGCAGTGGTGGTGCTGCTGCTGTAGGGCTCGCTGGCGGTGGTGTTGCTGCTGCTGTAGGGCTCGCTGGCGGTGGTGCTGCTGCTGATGTAGGGTTCGCAGGCAGTCGTGGTGCTGCTGCTGTAGGGCTCGCTGGCAGTGGTGGTGCTGCTGCTGATGTAGGGCTCGCAGGCAGTGGTGGTGCTGCTGCTGTAGGGCTCGCTGGCGGTGGTGTTGCTGCTGCTGTAGGGCTCGCTGGCGGTGGTGCTGCTGCTGATGTCGGGTTCGCAGGCAGTGGTGGTGCTGCTGCTGTAGGGCTCGCTGGCGGTGGTGTTGCTGCTGCTGTAGGGCTCGCTGGCGGTGGTGTTGCTGCTGCTGTAGGGCTCGCTGGCGGTGGTGTTGCTACTGCTGTAGGGCTCGCTGGCGGTGGTGTTGCTGCTGCTGTAGGGCTCGCTGGCGGTGGTGTTGCTGCTGCTGTAGGGCTCGCTGGCGGTGGTGTTGCTGCTGCTGTAGGGCTCGCTGGCGGTGGTGTTGCTGCTGCTGTAGGGCTCGCTGGCAGTGGTGTTGCTGCTGCTGTAGGGCTCGCAGGCGGTGGTGGTGTTGCTGCTGCTGTAGGGCTCGCTGGCGGTGGTGTTGCTGCTGCTGTAGGGCTCGCTGGCGGTGGTGTTGCTGCTGCTGTAGGGCTCGCTGGCAGTTGTGTTGCTGCTGCTGTAGGGCTCGCTTGCAGTGGTGTTGCTGCTGCTGTAGGGCTCGCTGGCAGCGGTGTTGCTGCTGCTGTAGGGCTCACTGGCAGTGGTGTTGCTGCTGCTGTAGGGCTCGCTGGCGGTGGTGGTGTTGCTGCTGTAGGGCTCGCTGGCGGTGGTGTTGCTGCTGCTGTAGGGCTCGCTGGCAGTGGTGTTGCTGCTGCTGTAGGGCTCGCTGGCGGTGGTGTTGCTGCTGCTGTAGGGCTCGCTGGCGGTGGTGTTGCTGCTGCTGTAGGGCTCGCTGGCGGTGGTGTTGCAGCTGCTGTAGGGCTCGCTGGCAGTGGTGTTGCTGCTGCTGTAGGGCTCGCAGGCGGTGGTGGTGTTGCTGCTGCTGTAGGGCTCGCTGGCGGTGGTGTTGCTGCTGCTGTAGGGCTCGCTGGCGGTGGTGTTGCTGCTGCTGTAGGGCTCGCTGGCGGTTGTGTTGCTGCTGCTGTAGGGCTCGCTTGCAGTGGTGTTGCTGCTGCTGTAGGGCTCGCTGGCAGCGGTGTTGCTGCTGCTGTAGGGCTCACTGGCAGTGGTGTTG